TGAAGTCTGCAAGCAAAGCAGACACCTGTCCTGAAGTCCAAGAGCTGCAGTTTGACCCCCCTTAGGTCACACCAGGCTGGTGAGACACATCTTGGGAACTGCTCCACTGGATCCAGGACACACAGCAGAGCATGGCAGAGCGTGGGGGAACTTGGGTCTGGATTTTAACACTGTTGTTTGGCTCCATTTGGGGCATATCTCTCTGCAGTTCATTCAACTTCCTTGTTTGGTTCTTCGTTGTTGTTGTTGTAACACAGATTTCAACCGTTGGTGTCTTGAGAATTTAAAGCCAGGGCTGCTCAACTCCCAAGAAGGTTTCTGCTGTGCTGAGCAGGAAACCTGACCCTGCTGCCAGGGCCACCAGCAGCCCCAAGCCTCATTTTCCTTACAAACTAATCAATCTGCTTTGGAGAATAAACCATTCAGCTTTTCCCTTAAGAGAATATCTACGGCCATACTTAAAAGATCTTATAAACTTGGGTCCCTGCTGAAGCTGGCAATGAAATTTTAAACATGCTAGACCTAAAATTATTTTTTTTAATTTTTTTTTGCTTTCCTTGGAAATTTTGGCACACCTGAAAGCATCTGGCTTTGTAAACCTTCTGTTTTTCACTGTCCCTGCTCACAAACAGCATCAGCCCCTCTGGTGAAGAGGGCATTATATAAAGAGAAGTGACCATTTAAAAATAATCCTGGTCACAGAAGAAGCTTGGAAAGAAGATTTGTTTTCTCAGCAAACCAGGAACCCAAAGCATCCAACAAACTGTGTACAAACCCCGAGAATAAAAGCATCAAGTGTTTAGTGCCTTGGCACACTAACCCCACTGATTTGAATCCAGCAAAAAGAACTTGGAATTCATTATTCTTATGTGTAGGCTTTTGTACATTTTCTGCCCCTCTCTGCTAAAGAAAGAAGGAACCCAAGGAACTTCACATTGAAGTGCAAGAGGCACCAAAAGCTGCTGGTTTCCTGAAGTACTTTGGAGACCCTGGATGAAGTTGCAATCTCACTGAACTTTATTTTTATCCTCTTTTTTTTTTTTTTCCTTCCCTGCTCTGGTCCTGTTTTCCACCCCTGGAGAGATGAGTCAGAAGAATGGAGAGAAAAAAGGATCTGACCTTCTTTGAAGGCTACCAAAGTCCTTGCTGGGCTTGTCACTGCTTGTGTGACATGTGGCATGTGACAGTGTGGTCATTTCTGGGAACTGTGCAAACCACTGCCTATGTGCCCAGTGAACATCTGGGATTGCAACAAACAGCAACCACATCTGGAACATCACAAGTAGAGATATCTCCTATCTGGGAACCCCAGACAAGTGTTGAACCACCCCTAGATTCATCGGGGCCAAAATTCCTGCGTGGTTGGAGAAAGCACATCCAGGAAAATGAGACATGTGGTAGGCTTCCTGCTCACCAGCAAGAGCTCTGCTGGCCAAAGTCCTAGAAAGCATGTTGGTAGAGCACAGAAATATCCTTTGCTGATAGAGCTGACTCGGTGCAAGGAGGTGACTCAGGCTGCAAGGTCCAAGCCACGTCTCTGCTGATGGTGTTGCCAGCACAGTTTGACTCAACTGTTTATACCAGCAAAGCTTTTAACCAGCAGAGAAGAGCTAGCAGCAGTTAGGGAGACTCAAACGAGGATCTCCATGGTTTATTGCAAGTGACAGCTGGTCTCACTATCACTGACAAGAGCGGGAGATGCTGCCAGTTTTTTTTCTCTCTGGCAATGAAGAAGGAGCCACACCCCAGCTGGAGGACCCAGGAGAGGCTTCTGGAGCAGATGAACATCCCTGCTTGTTGAGGCCAAGGCATCATGAGTGGAAAGGCTGGTACAGGCAGTTTATCAGAGTCCTTATCTGTGTTTAGACCCCACCAACAGGGAAA